GGCAGAATTCTTTCGTGAAAGGTTAAAGGACGAACAAATCAATATTAACAGTAATGGTGTTGAATGTGAGGCGAACTCAAACTAATAAGCACTTGATCACCTGATGTACAAGCAACGCTTAAAGTTGGTGGCTACTAACATAAAGAACAATGGCAACCTCTCTTAGACAATGCGTATCTTCACCTTATGATAGAAACGTAAAAAATTTAGATCTAAGTCGGAAGTCAGAATGGAAGGTGACGAGATAATAGAAGATAAAGTATGATTAATGAGGGGTAATAATCTGGGATATGGGATCACAACTGGGAATAGTGTGTAAATCATAATTTTTGACAATGTAAATATAATCATTACAATTCAGTTATCTATTGCATGAGGGCTTAATTATAAATCATTTTGACATCATTATTCTCGAGAATCCCGAGTGTTGATAAAAAAAATATAAATAAAAAATAGATATGCCGCGTACAATGTTTTACTTTTATAATGATTCTCATGAACTAACAAGAAGATTTAATTGTATAGTATATAATGTTAAAGTAATTTTTGTAAGATGAGTGTAGGCCGTATTATAATGCAGTAAATGTGCCAACAAGAATTTTTTAAAGTAGGTAAAGCCACAAGAATAATTTTTCTAAATAGTTCAAGCTATTATTATTATTATTATTATTATTATTATTATTAGGATATATAAAATCTTTAATATAAAAATCAAGAATTATTCACTGATGATTTTATTTTCATTTAATAATTTTAAGTTGTTATTTTCTTGTTATTCAATAATCTGAATTTTGTAAATTTGATATCAATTAAAATCTTAAAATACTATATTACAGTTGAATTAAAATTATAATATTACATTCATTTTTAAATATGAAGAATTAAAGTGTAAAAATAATTGATTTAATTATTTAATTATTAAATTGATATATAGTATGTTTTCACTCAAATAATTATTTTATTTTATTTAAATTTTGAATTTAAGTATACAATTATAACAATTATAATATAAAATCTTAAAACCTAAATTATATTAAACTATACAATTTATTTATCTTAAAAAGTTACTACTTATTTTTAAAAATAATATTATTAATTGATTATCATTATTTAAGATATTAATTAATAAAATAAATTTATTTTCTCGCTTATTTATTGTATCACCACATTTACCATTTATCGTTAAAGTGACATTTAAGGCTTGTATTAAAATTATCTCAAGATTACTCAAAAACGCCTAAACTAATAACCAATTTGTCCATGAGAATATTTCAAAACTTTATTTGATTTTTTTTTTTTTTGAAAAACAAATTTTGACCATTGTCTAATTTAAACGGAAACTATAGTCATAAGTTGTTCATCATACTTAACGATGTAATAATGACAGAATAGAAAAAGATAAGCATTTTTGATAACCGAGCTTGTAAATACCATTCAAACATTAAATTACTAAAGTTGACAATCGTGTAACATCCCGATATTAAGGGATCAACATAAAAAACATTGACAAGAGACAAATGCATATCAGTAAAAATGTCACGACCCTTTTTTGGACGTCTGTCCTATAAGACCCTGATTTTACATATTTATTAAATGAAATACGTATTTATGACGTGTGTACCCTAATTATGTAATCAATACGTAAGAATAGGTGCCGGATTTTTCTAAATTTATAATAAACCTTATTTAACTCAATTATGTAATTCCCCTTTTTTGTATTTAATGAATGCAACAAGATTTTCATAAGCCTCATCAACTCGGTTGCGTAAATCATGCGTCATACCCTGGTCTATTGACTTAATTTATAAATATGCAGATAAAAATTATGTCATTAGTTGGTTCATTGTATTTTAAACCAGTTTGCGATTACACAAAGGCTTTACCATGCTATATACGGCATCAACCATACTTTCCATCAGTTGCAAAAAACTACCCTGGACAAATACCGGTCTATCGTAATCAAAATCCTTATCTGCGTATATATCATATATCGCATTGAGAGACTCAACCGTACAATCTAGAGATGCGGGATGCGCTTGCAATTGATTTTGTATTATTTCAAATAAAAAGGTGCCAATCCTCTATTGACGTGTAAAATGGCAATGTTAAAAGTACCCGATTTACCGCAAAAAATAACATTCTATTGATTTACCCTATTATCTTCTATCGCATTTTGTCGTCTGGCAATTACGCCAAGGGTTCCTATTATCTTCACGCACATGCTTTCTGAAACATTCAACTTGTAGTAATCAATCAATTCTTGGATTTGATTTGCAGCAAGTGGCTTGGTTGGACACAAAAGAATTCTTTTTGTTATTTCATTCAACCCTTGTAATACTATGCATATGTAAATACATACCACATCACCATCCAATCCCCGGGACAATGTCCAAAGGCATCCCATTAATGTTTCCAAAATTTCATCTTTTGTTTCCTGCATATATTCTCCCATTCCAGCTTTCGTATTTATACTCGAAACTTTGTTGAACAATTCAAATAACCGTATCCATGTCTGTTGAGCTTCGTATCTACACTGTGTGAACCACCATTTTCCTTCTACAACATCCGCCATTATCAGAAGATAATTATTCAGACATTCAATAGCCCTTAGATGAACTGTTGCAAATAGTCGTGTAACGTTGCGCACAATTGTAGGCCCTGATGAACCGAGTTGTTCAGGGAATGAAAGATGTGCCGGATTAGCCAGGCGAAGTAACTCAGGTAAAACGACGGTTGCCATCGTATTTAATGTAGGCAGCTCTTGCATGTTATATTTTGGATAATCATCATTATTCGCATCTGTCATTAGAACGTCATTATCCTCCCTTGGTAAATTTTCTTTCGCGTTAGTTTCATCGTCATCATCATCTTAAATAATTATTAGAAAACATAAAGTTAGATGTTAATCACAATAAAGGGCTATTGATACTATTTACCTTTAAAGATTCCTTCGGAACAAATCTTATTTAAGATTTCGAGTGCCAATTGCAAAGTCGTTAGCTGACTATTGACCTTATCTAGCCTTTCCTGCAGATAATTAGATAAAATTAATTAAATAAATATGAATTGACCAACGGAATTATAACAATACCTCTTCAGTATTAGACAGTGAGTCCTTTGAATGATATGCGGTGGTTTCCTGATTCAAAAATTGAATATGGTAAATATTACAGTTAAGATGAAGTAGTTGATCATGTTCTACTCACAATTCTTGAAGTCACATCAACTACCTCGTCTGCAAGCTTGTCAAGGTCAAGTGTCAAACGAGATGTCAATACAGGCAACAAATACAAATTCTGTTCTGAGACGGGATCAATTCCAGCAAAAGTGTAAATAGAACGAAGATTCGAAAGAATTCCTACAGGTATAATTATAGGAATAAAAATAAACTCTAATGAAATGCTTACTTAAATATCAAAAAGCTTACCGCAATATAAAACTTTAATAAGCAATAAAGTCTCGGTTAATTCAGATGAGATGTTTTCCTCATTTTTAACACCATTCAATAATACTTGCATATATTGTGGATTCTGTTCAAAGTGAAAATGAATGTCCGGATTTTCGTCCGTTATTGTATGAAGACATTGCGCTTTTGATTAAATATTCCATTGTCAGTTTGATTTATCCTCTGCGTATATGTAAATGACAGTAGATTGTAATACCAGCGGCAAGAACTGTTTTTCCGGGAATTTTTTTAGAATGCATGAAGAAGGATACCAAAAATGGAACGACATTCGCGTTGTTTATGCTTTTAAGAGCTTTTTGAGAAACCTCGCTATGAAATGTAATAATAAATACTTAATTTAGTCATATCATCAAATATTTATTCAAAACATTATTTGTTTATTAAGTCCATTAATACCTTAAAGACCAAATTATGTATATTATATTTTCCGCGAAAGTCCATATTGTTTTTCTAGTGCCTTCGATGGGATCAGATTCAGGGGGAATATCCCGCAAAATGTTATCAATTATTATAGAAACCTTCATTTTTTTGTCAAAATGTTTACTATTAGATTGCCGAGAATTAACGTAAAAAATAACATTATAGTCACCTTTGACACTAGCGGTATCAACGGGGTAAGTATATCCTTATCGTACATCTCGGCACATACTTCGAAGGTACCTACAATCGCGAGATTCCTAGAAATTCATTTATTTCTTTAGATTTGGCAATTAATAATTTCATTGTACACATGAAACTTGCCTCAACGCACCGAGTACTTCACTGATTACTTCATATACGCTGTCGGTTAAACGCTCTATGAGAAACCTAATTAAATCATTTGATAATAATAGACGACAAATATTTTTATCTCCCATTACGAGATTTGAGACGCTGCTGGCAGCCCAAGCACGCTCTGTTGCATCAGGGGAAGATAACTATTATATAGGAATGGTGAGAAAAAATTGGTAGGAAATGAACCCAATTCTTATTAAAAAAAAAAAACTTTTTTTAAGAATCAACCTGTTTAATTGCAGGCAAGACTTCATTTGTTGTGTCATTTAAGTCATATTCGGAGCCAATTTCTGCTTCGACAATTGGTGATGGTTTTGGGGGTTTGAATTTTTTTCTCGGCATTTTACCCATTTCTTAAAAAAATAAAGAGAATTTTTTGATTATCGGTATCAATGGTATAACATTACGTAATGCGAAAATCAAGTTATTATGTAATATTAATTATTTAAGATTTTTCATATACGTAATTATAAAAAATAAAAAAATTGTTTTTTTAAAAAAACTATATATAAAAATCTTTAATTTAAAAAAATATTATCAATTTATATATACAGAGAATCCCCCCTAAATACACCCTCTCTAAATACACACCTTCTCTAAATGCACTCTTTTTTATAGTCCCAAGTTGGGTCAATAATATTAAATGCACCCTTTATATTCTAACAGTGCTATTAAAATTAATTCTCTAAATGCACTTTATATATAATTTGCGAAGTTGGCCAAAATTAATATGACCGGAATTACATAAAGCTGGGAAAAATTAAGCTGACTGATTGGAATTAATATAAAGCCGGGCAAAATTAAGATGACTGACTGGAAATAACATAAAGCCGGGTAAAATTAAGATAACTGACTGGAATTAACATAAAGTCAGGTAAAATTAAGATAACTGATTGGAATTAGCATAAAGCCGGATAAAATTAAAATAACTGATCAGAATTAACATAAAGCCAGGCAAAATTAAGATGATTAGCCAGAATTAATATAAAACTGGGCAAAATTAAGATAAATGATCAAAATTAATATAAAACCAGACAAAATTAAAATAACTGACCAGAATTAATATAATGCCAGGCAAAATTAATTGGAATTAATAAAAAAAAATTTTTTTTCTTTAAATACACACCTTCTCTAAATATACTCTTGCTCTTGGGTTCCAAGAGAGTATATTTAGAGAGGATTCTCTGTATATCTCTATTTTTTAATATATAAATTACTTTCAATATTAATAAAAATACAACATATAATAACCTATGGGTCCATAGTACAATGATAGTGTTCCATAGATTACTAGGAGAAGGTTTAGGATTCAATCCCACCTGGTTACAAAAGAATTTATCACCTTTATAATTGGTTAACCGGCTTTCAATTCATGTCATACCCAATCAGTCGATAAACAATCAATTTTTCAAATTTAGTTAGGTTGCATAAAGATGGAATCTCTGATCTTCCTGACGATTATGGGTTGAAAACAAGTCAAAGCAAGGAAGATTGTATAAAGAAAGACTTCTGGTTTAACTCCAGTAATAAGTCCACAAAAACTCCAATCCAAATTGGCGACGACAAATTCTGTCACACAACATAAAGAGGTTAATCCTAAGCTGATCTATCCCAATCTGGAGCTTGTAGATCTATCCCAATGGTGGTG